GTTGCCGGCCCTGGAGTGAGTGGGGGGGAAGGGACCCGGCCTCCAGTTGCCGGCCCAGGAGTCGGTGGTGGGGGAGGGGAAGGGAGCGGGCGACCGGAGGCTTCTGTCTCCTGGAGCCTGGTGAGGGTGGGAGGGGTTTGGGGGAATGGCGGCGGCAGCCGGAGGCCTCTGCATCCCGTTGCCGGCCCTGGAGTGAGTGGGGGGGAAGGGACCCGGCCTTCAGTTGCCGGCCCAGGAGTCGGTGGTGGGGGAGGGGAAGGGAGCGGGCGACCGGAGGCTTCTGCCTCCTGGAGCCTGGAGAGGGTGGGGTTTGCAGAGGGGTGGGACCTCAGACAGGTAGAATGCCATAGACTACACCCTCCAAACCAGCCATTTTGTCCTGGGTAACAATTGCTGCCAATGTCCAGGTGAGGGCTACAGATCACTCAAAATTACAACTGCTCTTCAGGTAGCAGAGATCAGTTCCTCTGGAGAAAACAGTGGACTCTGTCATTATACCCTGCTGAGGTCACCACAGCAAAATGACACTGTTGGCCCAAAGCCAGAGCACTGCCCCAGAGCCTCTTTCTAGATCTCGTTGTATTGCTTTCACAACGGGCTTTACTGCTAGTCCTGTCATATTGTGATAAATACATGTATGTAATGAAAGGAGAGATACCTGTCCAACTTCTATTCCTTTGTAAAAAGCCTTATTAACTATTTTTTTCCCAATCTGATTTCCTCTGTTGCAAGATTTCATATTATTTGCGATAGAGCCATTTCTTTCACATTATTGCTGGAAAGGTGAATTGACCCAGTATGAGAGCTAAGCACCATTCTTTTGATTTATTATTGTTTGTCTAGTCACCAAGAGTGTTAAGCTGACTCATATTGCTTTTCAGGATAACCAGAAAGCAAATGCAAAACCTCACAAGGGAACAGGCTGGATAGAGTCATATATCCCATGCTTTATTCTGGGTTACAAAAAAAAAAATCATGGGAATTGGTTTCTCCATTAATAGCTTTCAAGACAACTCAGAATACTATGAGGTTTGGTGTACAGTTGTAAGTGAATAAGAATCCTTTTACAGACAAAATGAACTCAATTAACAATTTTTTCACTGACAAACTGTAAGCTTCAGAAGAGGCATCCTGGCTTCCCACCATGAGCCCTGGGCTAGTTATGAACTATGGTAATGTGGACTTGGCTGGTTTTTGCAATATAACTCGAGGAAGTTATGCAGCCTGCTCTTAATTTATAACACAATTATAGAAAAGAGTAAAAGAAAAAACCCTAGCTTTTTAAAATTCTCAAGCTCATAATAATTTAATTGCTCCCTGATCCTAAAATAAATGCTTTCTTAAATACAATGTTTCTGACTGGTTTTAAATCCAACATTAATAGCTTATTTAGTACTGGGAAGACTCAATATGACGACATTTGAAAATTGTCAGTAGCTATTGAGCTACTTTAAAGAAATAGTTACTACAGAGTACTAATTAATTCCCCCTAGACCATTTCATTCTACTACTACCACTGTCTATAGCACATGAATTGTGCCAGTTTATCATTAGACATGATCAATTGAGTGGATGGAATCTTGATAATAGGCTCCAGTCCTGAAAAGACTGAGTGGTCCAGTTTATAAAATCTAACAATAATTGTTTACTTTGTAGTGGGAAAACTTACTCTGCTTATCTTGTCTATCCACAAGCATAGCACTCTGCACAAGCTACTTTTGTAATATGTTACAGATAGGGATGTGCGATTTTTTTAACCCGGTATTTTTTGGTTCAAGTCTATTGGACCTGGGGGAAAATCGGTATTTCCAAAAAATCAATATTAGGATCCAGGATTTTTCAGAAATACCAATTTTTTGGGGGTCCAATAGACCTGGGAAGAAAAATACCAGATTATAAAAAGCCAGCCCAGTCATAGGGCTGTTTTGGCTATTCCTGCAGCGTGGTTTAAACCGTACTACAGGAGAAGTTGTCCCCAGGATCTGTGTGTGGTGGGGAGGTCTCTCCCCACCATATGCAGATCCTAGGGCTAGCTTGGCTTCTCTTGCAGCTGATCCTGGCTGGGCTCACTTCTCCTGCAGTCCAGTTTAAACCGGGCTGCTGGAGAAGTGAGCCCTAGGAGCTCCTGTGCCACGCAGAGCACATTGCTCCAAACAGCACAGCTGATCCTGGCTGGGCTCACTTATCCTGGCCCCATCCTCCACTGTTTCCAATGGAAGGGGAAATAAGGTGTTTAAAGGGATCACAGTCTCTTTAAACACCTTCTGCAAGCTGTGAGCCTGCAAGTGAACACCGAAGGCATTTAAAGGGCCCGAACTCCCTTTAAATGCCTCCTCCAAGCTGAGAGTTCACTCTGAAGGCATTTAAAGGGACTGAGAGCTCTTTAAATGCACTTTAACTGTGAGTATCCGGTGGGCCTGAAAAATCCTGAATACTGTTGGGATTTTCTGGCTTGGCCATTTCAGATAGCCAAATAAATGCTGTCTCTCTATATCTGGCTGACAAAATAAACTGAAAATACCAGTAAGGTATTTGGACTGGGGGGGGGGGGTCCAGCTTGAACAGACCAAATGCACACCTCTAGCTACAGAATATTTCAGGAGTAAAACTGATGAGACAAGCAAAGGTAGACGTAGCATTTCCTCAAAAGTATAAAGTAATCCTGGGTTGAGGTAAATCATGGCTTGATTAAACAAACAGTTCAGTGAATGAGGGCAGTTGTTGCCTTCACAGCCATTTCTCCTTTTGAAGTTTACAGTGTCTTTACCAACCAAAAGTAATGCTACAGTAAGCAGTGAAGTACAAACACAGCTAAATCTGATTTAGCCCTCCTCTTCTGTTACAGTGTTTTGGGTGAGATTGCTGGAATGCAGCAAAGTAAAAGGGATGGTTAATTTTAGATTTAACAGTGTGCCACAAATGGTGGATATGTCAGAAAGTGAGAGACAGAGATTTACATTCTGTACATGGGATGAGGAAAGAGAGATAAGTATCTACCTTTTAAGCTAATATGAAGCCTAGATTTCTGTTCTCCACAAAACTCCAAGTAACCCATAAGATGTAAGAGCAGAAGTCTTAAAAAAACCAAACAACCAAGCTGTCAAAAGAAACACATAATTATTAATTAGTAACATGTCTTTACAATTCAACTGTGGCCTATTTCTAAACAGTTTACAAAGCTTCTTAGCTTGTAGTATCAATTAAAGGAATTTTGTGCCTATTCAGAACCCTCTTATTGGCCCCACCCAGACCCATGACTTGGGAATCCAACTCCCTCAGTATAATATATCTTAGCATGCAGGTGGAGTTTGACCAACTTTTCATGCAACACATAGTTAGGCTCCATGATTTGCCCCACAAGATAATTTCAGATTGGGGTGTACAGTTTGTGGCCAGGTTCTGGAAGGAGTTGTTAAAGCTGCTGGGGGTGGAGCAAGGGCTAAGCAGTGCTTACCACCCAGAAATTGACGGGTAAACAAAGAGAACAAACCAAGTGTTAGAACAATTCCTGAGATGCTTTATACATCATCAGCAAAATGACTGGGTAGATCTGCTCCCATTTGTAGAGTACAGCTATAACAATTCGGTGCACAGTTCCATATACAGGGCTCTTTTTGTAGAAAAAGCCCAGCAGGAACACATTAGCATAATAGGCCACACCCAACAGCAGAAACCTATTAGCATATTAGGCCACACCCCTGACAACACAGCTCATTAGCACATTAGGCCGCACCCCCATGTTACCAGAAGTGTGGTTATCCAGCCACACCCACCTTTTGCTTGTTATTCTGTTTACCTTGTTTGTTGTCAAAACCCAGGGCTTTTTTGTAGCAGGAACTCCTTTGCATATTAGGCCACACACCCCTAATGAAGCCAATCCTAATGAGTTTCTGCTTTTGGGTGTGTCCTATTATGCTAATGAGTTCCTGCTGGGCGTGGCTAACTTGGGAGCCAGCCGGAACTCCATTCTTGTGCGTTCCTGCCCAAAAATAGCCCTGCATAGGCATATCTCCATTCAAAGCAGTGCACGGATACAAAGGGGGACCCCTCCCCACCTTGAACTCTGAGGACCTGAGGCCGGGGGATGCACAGACATGGTAGGCTAAAGTGACCCAAAGGTGGTCGGCCCTCCAACCAACTCTAACCAAAGAAGATTACAAACATTACACTGACAAAGGGAGGGGCCCCGAATGGGAAATAAAGCCAGGAGACTCAGTGTATATTTCCACTAAAATTCTCAAGGGGCTGCGACCAAGGAAAAGGCTGGGATGGAAATATGTGGGACCATTTAAAGTGGTGCATCTTATTAATAAAGAGACTGTTGAGGCTGAACTACCCAAAAGCTTATGTCATGCCCACCACATTTTCCATTTTAGTCTACTGAAGAAGTATCCTGGACCATCGATGTGGAAACTTCATCCTGCAGCTCCTCCCCCTCTGCTCATGGATAGAGTGCCCCACCAAGAAGTGGAGGACATTTTAGACTCTAAAATCAAACGGGGTCAATTGTACTATCTCATTAAATGGAAAGACTTTGACCCGAGCCTTAATGAATGGGTAGAATCTAAACATGTGAAGGCTGCAAAATTGGTGCGTGCTTTTCACAAGTGGCACCCCCTCAATCCGGGAGGGTGAATGGACTTTGGGGGTGCAGAATATCAAACTCTGCTTAGTTTGCCATAGTTACAGGGGAAGGCAAATTCCTGAGGGGGGGGTGAATGGCTGTCTGTGTGTGAACCACTCTATCATAGGCATCATAACTCTTCCTTAAGATACCTTCCTCCTAGAGGAACGTCCTTGAGACCAAAGCTGTGCCAGCTTGCTATTGTAGATAACAGGATCATATATTCCCGGGAGGGTAGTGAATGCAAGAGCTAGGTGGGATGGCTGTGATGTGTGATTTGGTTATTCCCCAAGGGGCCCTATTTGAACTGTCTATCTCTGAATCTTCCCACCAGAACCTTAGTTCTGACATGGTACTGTTCTAGCCTGGTTCATGCTGATATCTCAATAAACAAGTCACTGCCAAGAGAGTGTTGTTGGGAGTCTCTTGACCAGGAGTCTGACACACTCCTCAGCCATGGCTACAGGAGTGCAAAGGGGCTACTGGTGTCTCAGAAGGTGAGAGGCCTTTGCCTGCTGACTCCAGGCACTCTCTGGAGTCTTCCCTTTGCCTGCCTCTCTCTCTCTCGCATCACCCATCTGGTTCCTCTGCTCTCCTCCTTGATCTCAGCTTTCTTGCCTCCTTTTATGTCCACTAGCCTGGCTTTGCCCCCCTTTCCTGCATCCTGAGTGGTTCCCTTTCCTGTCTCTCCACCTGCACCCCTTTCTCATTGGCCAGGATCACTGGAGCCTTTAAGCCCCTGGACCCACCTCCTTCCCATTCAGCCCTGGGTGGGGCCAGCGTCCACCACTCATACCCTCTCATTGTTGCCTTGCCTTGCCTAAGACAAGTGGCCTCCCCCATTGCCTCCTTTGCATCCTGTCACCGGACCTGCGGTGCTGCAGCCTGGCTCAGCCTGCCCTCAGAGCACCAATGGCCGGCCCTTCCTTGCCCCGGGGACCTGGCTCTGGTGCCTGCTGCCCACCTCAGGAGTGGCTCCATGGATTCCCAGGTAGCCAAGCGCCACTGCCGCTGCTGGGCCACCCGACCTTGATCCACCAGTGTCAGCAGAGGCCATCCGTGTGGCGCTCCAAGACAGTACCGGCTAAACCTCCAGTGCCCCCCAGCCCCCTGACTCTAGGCTGGCAGGTAAGTCCAAGCTTGGATAATTATATTACAATTTACTATTCCAATCAACTATTTCAAATAAGAAATAAAATAAAATAAATTGGTTGCATAGCTTTTCTGGGGGACTGGTGATAATACAGATGTAAGGACTGAATGAAGTTAGCATATGTAATGAGATAAGAAACAAATATCCCTGTTAAGTCCTTTGGACAGTGGGCTTTACTCTCTACAACCAGTCCACTGGTTGCCATTGTCAAAGAAGAGTAAATTTCTGCATATGATGGATATTTACACCATGTTAATTAGCTTGTGCAGGAAAAGGCAAGAGTCTTATGTGTAGGTTAAGAGGAAAGCAATGATATTGTTGCTGGCTATCAAAATGCACTTGATAAAACAGAGTAATAAGAAAACAGTTGTCAAAGCTGGTAATCTGGAGGCAGAGAGATGACTCAGCAAAGAGAAAAAGGCATGTAGGTTGTTTAGTGAAGACTCAAGCAAGAAGTTATTTAGTGAGGAAGTAGGCCTACACCTCAACAACAACCTGCTCAGACATAGGCCCAGAGGTCAGAATAAGCAGCTTAGAGGGCCCGATGGTCCTTATTGGCTCCTCAGGTCACCTGATTTCAATTAATTCAAAGCTGCCAGAGCATACAGCCATCTGCAGTGATGGTACTACAGTCCTGCAATGACCAGGCCAACTATTGCTTCTGCATGCAAGGTGCCAAACTAATAGAGGGAATAAGATATTTGTGCCTTGTTGCGAAAAGTCCCTGCTTTGAAACTTCCAGCATTCATCTAAAGATTCAAAGGACTCCAATTCAGGGGATGGGAAAGCAGGAAGTTTTGGCCTTCCCATACGAAATGGTCATAAGAAAATCAAACAAGTGGCCAGCAAATTACTGGAACTGTACTGCTTCATACAAAGTAATGGGAGTGTTGAAGCACAGATGACAAATCATCATAGAGATCTCATCTGAAATATGGGCTTGTTTTAATAATGCTTATGACACACCTGGTGATTTCAAATTGATTTTTTTTAATCTTGCGCACAGTGAAACAGGGGTGTGTGTGGGGGGTTGTTCATTAACATACCAGTTGACGGGGGGGGGGAATCCGATAATGCCTGAGAAAGTTAATAGTTTCTATACAGCCATTATTCAAGAAAATAAAGCACGAAACAAGACACCAGAAGTTTTGGAGAGTGTATTAGAACTTAAGATGTCAAAATAATTGGGCTCCCTGGAATAGGGGAGCAGCTTACTTCTCCAGTTTTTCTTGGAAATATATTTGAGCACTGCAAGAGATTCCACACAAAATATTTAAAAAACACAGAGACAATTAAAAGAAGGCCCCCCATTTAAAGAATCCAAGCAAAAATATGGAAAACATCTTTACAAGACAGACAATGCTATACCTCTATTCATGCTGAAGCAAGTTCGTTAATTCGCTTTTGGGAGACCAGGTAGAAAATGGTTGCCGGCTCCCCCCCTCCCCCACAGGAGGCAGTGGATCCCCTGCTGCCAGGTCCTGCCCCCACTGCCAATCAGTTGGCCGATGGGGGGACTTGCTAGCCAGGGGAGGGAAGGAAGTCCAGGCTATATCACCAGCAATGTGGCAACGTCACTTTTGACATGCACTGGAAGTAATGTCATCATGTCAGCCACATCACAATGACACTCTGATATATGACACTCTGATAAAAGCCATTTTACCATAGAGTTTTGCAATAGGACTTAGCTTGGGGATGCATAACAATAGCTTGCTAGGATCCTAGAATGGACTAGTAGGGTGACAGGAATCCTAGAGTTACCCAATTGGGAAACAATGTAGTGTAAATAGCCTATAGTTGGGAGTGGGGTGTGTTTTGGGTGTAACCTTTTTCAGGCATAAATACCCAGCTTTGGCCAGGGACTCCTCAGTCTTCTTTCTCCTGCTGAATCGCTAATAAACTATGAACTGATCACTTGAATGCGTCTGAACCCAGTATGTTTCAGGATAAGAAAGAACAAAATACAAGCATGAAAAGTTAACCCTACAATTACTGAGAAAATAAATATTAAAATTACCAAAGCACCTAGCATTGCTTTAAGCAAGTAATAGTTTTAAAAGCAAATCAGGTTTTAGCTGTTTGTGTCACTGCGTTTGGGGATTATCAAAAATACCAAGTTACCCACCATGAAATCTCACCCATTCTTCTTCTGAGACTTCCCTCCAGAGAAATCTGATTTCCTTGTCACAAAAGTGCATATCTTTCTCTAACTTTTGTCTATCATAATCATGTGATATCATCTAGATAATTGATTGGTTCATTACTAAATATGAGATAAGCAACATAAGTGCTGAATAAACTAATCAGCAGGTGCATA